GAAATAAATAAGTACAATGAACATCCAGGTAATATATTCACATCGCTCAACAAATGTGTGATTGTTGCCAATAAAATTTTGACGTTTCATTTTTATTCTTCATTCCCCAATTGTATCTGTCAGAAAGGTGACAAAGGAATTATCAGTTTTTTTTGTTGAACTTCACAATTGCCATATGATTCTGTTGTATGGAATCCATATTATATACTACGATAATTTAAAAAGTGTACAATTTAATTGGTCTTTTAAACACATTTTATATCCCAAACAATTGATATCGGGATATACTGGTATTTGGCACTGCTCTTTCATAAAACATTTAATAAAAAAAAATAATAACGAAAATTGAAAAGTAGTTTTTTAAAATAGTACAAAGGAAATCTTTTGCATTTTCACTAAATAGTTACCTAATAGATTCATGAGAAGTTTTAGCTTGATTGTATACTACTAGTGCTGGTTTAACTTCTGAAGAAATTATAATCCATTTTCCTTAGTAACATTACATATGTATAAAGACATTTTATTGGTGAAACTTGTTATTTTTTAAGTGATATAAAAATAAAGTAATAAATGGAGTATATTATCCAATAAACTGTAAATTTTATATCAAAGGAACATTAAGTCTGGAAAAATAAAGCTGTAAAATGTATAAGTATGGCAATTCAGACAAAATTTTTTTGAATCGAATGAATTTGCTTTATAATACGATCATATTAGCTGTATTACTGTATTAAAAAAAAAATCAAGGTATTAAGAAGACATATTATAAAAAAATAGATGAAGGACTTGTTACCAACATACTTAAATTCTTTTAGATATCATTTTTTATCAAAGCGTAATTCCTCTGATATTTTACATATAAAAATACGTTATGAATTTTGAAATAAGAAAATGATAATCAGTCTGTGGAAAAAATAGTATATAAATTTTGGAAATAATATTTTTGAAATACCATTGTATTAATTAATTAATTCACTAATTTGTTATCATTGAATTTAAGATATCTGATTTTTCAAAACAAAATGTCCAATTTCTTTTGACATAAATATTAGGAATTAACCAACTATTTGTAGGACAGTCCTGGACAGCTTCATTTGAAATGGCCTTTAAAGTGTGTGACAAATTTGCTTTGATGTCATCAATTGTCTGAAAATGGCGTCCTTTCAGCACTGATTTTAATTTCGGAAATAAGAAAAAATCGCAAGGATCCAGGTCTGGCGAGTAAGGGGGATGAAAGTGATGTGCGGGCGCATTGTCATGGTGCAAGAACCATGAATTGTCTCGCCACAACTCTGGTTTCTTTTTGCCAATTTTTTCACGCCATGATAGTTCACCTTGAGGCAAGAATCGACATTGGATCTAAACTGACGTGCTTTTTGGGGGCGTGGATATCCTTCGCCAATCCGTTGTGATGATCGAACTTCTGTCTCAATATCGTAGCTGTAAATCCAGCTTTCGTATCCTGTTTTTTCGTCTTGGAATGAATTTTTCATCGTCATTGGATTATTCAAGGATTTGCCCAGAAACGTCCATATGATTCTTTCTGTCTTTCGGTCATCAATTGAGGAACTTTTGCTGCGACTCAATGCATGTTCATTTGTTCAGTCAAAATTTCATGGCATGACCCAATTGAGATGCTAGCCTTTTCTGCAATTTCTCTGACAGTAAATCGGCGATTTGGATACACCAGATCTTTGACTTTCTGAACGTGGGTGTCATCAGTTGAAACCGAAGGCCTTTCTGGAAGAGTATCATCTTCAATTGTACGTTATATCTCACCCACACTCAATTTATCAACTGTTGCTACATATGTCAAATAGAATGTACTAAATTTTCTATTGCCGAGTCCGTAATTTGATTGAACATTTGTACAAACGAAAACTTACAGGAGTTTCGGAAAAACAATTAAGTTTTGGGAGGAAGTCATCTATTCCTAAATTTAGAAAACGTTTAAAAACTTTTATTTGACTCCTGTTTGTGTCTTTACTCATTATTTATTCAGTCGCCCCTAAACTTTCGATAAGTCAATAGTTAGATACTACTCTCCCTTTAATTGCGGTTCGTATTGTTTCGAGAAAGCGCTAAATTTACTTTCACTTAATTGTACCAAACTGGGGATGATAAAACATTGCAATTAAAATTCAAAATATTAATGAATGACGCACTAGAAACTATGTAAAAAGAAGTCAAAGAAATGTGCATACAATGATGCATTTTTTTGCTTTTTATAGCTACAGTAGATTATTTAAATAATTTGATCAAAATAGTATTAATGATCTTTTTGCCTACTATTTTGTGATATAAATATTAAATACAATAAACGTCACAATTTCACTTTTTTCAAATTTCAATTTCAAATAATATTGTCCCGATTTGAATACTCTGTGATAATATGTATTCGTATTTTCTAAGCCAGTAGGTCAATAACTAAGCAACTTTTCCACAAGTTGGCTAAAAATAAACTAGATTTGTGATTTTTTTTTATTTCCTGGTAATATTAGAAAAAGGTGGAAACAGTTTTTATATTATCAGTTTATTAACACTTTTGATAATATTTTGGAATAAGTAATTAGAGACTAATCTCCTCTAAACAATAATTATATTATTATGAGAAATGTGTACCTAATAGAAAACTCAAGTAAATGGGAAAATATTCTATTACAATTTTAATATTTATATTGTTAATACTTCTGATACACTGAAAGAAAAATTTGACTTATTTTCACTCAATTTCACTCAGTGTATCAATTTCTGTACACCCAATTGAGTGAAATTTTCCTCTAGTAGAATGAGTAGCTACAACTAAAAGATTATGAGTGAAACTATCAGTTTTAGTTCAAATATTATCCAAAATTCACTCAATTCACTCAAATTTCACTCAATAGGTTCACTCAGCTTTCACTCAGTCCGATTTATTTACAGTGTAGCATTATACAACAAGTAACTAAACAATACTTAGTTCATTTATTTTAAAAAATGAATAATTATTATGTAATTGAAAACATACCATAGATTTTAATAAATGCTTTATAATACCGCTACTTTTGTATATCAAAATAGATATATAGTTTAATAAAGCTTACGTATTTGAATTTTCTGATATAACGAATACAAAAAGAGGATTATAACTTGTTATTTTTAATTATCGTGCTGTTATTGTATTGCGCAATATCCTACATGATGAAAATAAAATTTTGCACTTCTAACTTGATCTATAAAATAATTATTTCAGTCTCTTTTACCGATATGAGTTGGTTCATTGTATTGTTACGGAATAATACAAATTTTGAAAATTTTTATAAAATTCTACTCACTGTACAGGTAATATTTTATTATCCAAAATAAATATTAGGGGAGAAACACCTAACTGTTATTTTTCATTAGTATGTTTCCCATGAAAAAACTAACTCGTCAGGTTTTTTATTTTCGACCTTGGGATAAATGTCTCCAATAAGAGTTATATGGTGTTTTTGAGGCTCTCAAAAATTTATTTACAGATAAAAAGATCGAAACTCGCATAATATGCGATTTCTAGGTGTCAGTCATGTTGTTTTTAAGGAGGTAGAACATCCTGTGTTTTTGGTATTATTGAAATCTAGAAGGTTTTATTTATTTATATTAAATTATAACAGAGAATAGCTAATAATATACAAATTAAGATATATTTAAAACATTATTCTACAGTGCGTATTTGGACTTACTTAACGATAGGTGAAAAAATTCGAAAGGAAATTTATTTTTACAGGTTCATTGTATATGTATAAATCAATTTGGGCCATTTATTAGTTTCTAAAAATCAAATATGCCTTGGGCTTTAAATAAATTTAAAAAATGTTATTAAGAAAAGTTAATTAAGAAAATGATAAATCATGAGGGTGTGCAAAATTTTAAACCATCTGCCTAATTTGTAATTTTGCCCAATTTTAAACTTTCTCGCTAGTATGGTGCCTTTTTTGTATGAAGTACCACAAGATGTCTAAACTATTGAGGTAGGCCACACACTTAATTTCTTATTCTTTTAATATTTAGTGGAGTCTCATACAGGAAGTATACTATATTAGCAAATATTCATAAATCAAGCAAAACCCAAAATAGGCCCAAGATATTGAAATTTTACACATTTATTATTTTTATTCTGTTCTGAGAAATTTAATAACAATTTGTTGAATCTTTTACAAAAAATTGCACTTTACTGGCCAGCAAAATATTTTTTTAGTATTGAAAAAGCATATTTGTTTTGAAACTAATAATACGGCACAAATTAGTTTATTTCCAAGAGCCTGCTTTAAAAAATAAAATGTCAACTATAACACCATTATAGGTAATTTTTTTCAGACGGCTAAATGTTTAAGAGCATTAATTGAATATCTCTCAAAAGTTGCACAAAATCTCCAGTTTTGGAAGTTAAATTAATTATAGAAGTATTTTAGTCCTGTATATGAACGAGTTTTTTAAATTTATTTCAGTTTAAGTGTTATCAATTGCCTTTTACTGCTTTATTTAAATATACCTAGCAGTGGTAATAAATACGCTTGCAGATTGGAATAACGAAAGAAACAGAATACAGATTACAAAAATATAAAAAATAGAGTGTTCAATTAAAAATAAACATAACTTACATCTAGAAATCGCTATGCAACGTTCAATTGTTTCCTTCAAAGGAAAATAAAAAAGTTACCGTGGTGATAATTTTTGGTGGGAAACCATAAAGTTGCTTTTTATACACATATGTAATAAAGATTTTCTAACGATGAAGAATATAATTTTTTTCACCCCCGAATCTGTTTCAAAAACGTCTTTTTCATTTTGCGAAGCATTCCATTTTCACGAATTGACTGTTTCGAATTATTTTTTTATGCAAAAGATGTTTCAAATTTAGTTATCTCTTTGTTAGTAATATTTACAAATGCGTAGGTACTTACATTTTTGTCAAACAAACTTTTTTCAAATAAATGTGGAATACTGGTTGTGCACCTACGAATATACTTAAAAAAAATTACCTGAAACAAGAGGAGTACTATTCGAAGACTCGTATCCATCATCCAAAGTCGAGGTTGGCGTGGTATGGACATTGATGCTCTTCTTCCACTCCTCACTGCCACCATTGTCATTGCTTACCTTCCCAACCCCATTGCTGGCCCTCAGGGTCTCGCTGCTTCCAAACTCATCATTCGGAGCATTTTCGTTGACTTCGTAATGGTTCTTATAAAACATCTCTGATATACTCTTGGAAGATTTCGGCCTCTTCGACAACAAACCCTGGGGAGAGACTTTCGCTATTTCCGGAGAGCTTTTGCGCTTCTTTTGCTTGGAATCAGTCGGGGCACTGAATATGTTTTGCACCGTTTTAATCTTTTGCTCGGGTAAATTTTCTTTGGCTTCCTTATTTAGCGGTTTCAGGGGTAAGTTATCGTAAATGTGCGACGACATGCCGAATTACATTAGTCAAATTGGCCGAAATCGCGTTTATGTTGTGTGGAAGTTACGAAATTACTCTAACAGGCTTACTAGACAACTCTTTGTCATATTCTAATTAATGAGTGGCGCTTGTAATTACCCTCTCATTAGCAAATGGCTGCAACAGTTTCACACACACACTGGAGCCTTAATTACATTCGCGATCGTCTATTTTTCTTGTTCGCAGCAGTCAGCAGGGCACTGATTAAATTAAACATCATAATTTCAACTGGGTTTAGATTAAAGTTCGTAATTAGTTTGCGTCGCTGTTAAGGGGGGCCTTGTTTATGTTACTTTTAAGGTAGTTTGGGGTAATCTGATTCGTATTTGGCGGCCGATAAGTCGTGATGCTGTTGACGGACTAACGCGGCAATGGGGACTCGGCGTCGCAAGGTTTGACAGCACGACTTCGGGCAAAGCCTGGACAACCGCTGTACGAATACTATTTCTCGCAATCATGCGGCCGCGATGTCGTACACACATGCTCATTCATAACTGTCGCGCCTTTTAATTTACCCACCTGATTAGAATCTAGCATGCGATGTGATGTTTCCGAATTTTGGAATAGTCTCGACCCCATAAAAAATTAATAATAAAAACGAGATATAGATAACTAAACTTTTTAAGAGTCTTTTTAACATATAAATCGAAAGTCAATTCTGAGAATAAAAATAATACTTAAATTTATTGGAGAATGTGATCGGTCACTTTTGGTCATTATAAAAAATCAATTTAAAGATGTACAGGGTGGTTGATTTTCGATAGTTTTATTGGGTACAGCCAAAACGGTGATAGATACAAAAAATCTGATATCGATGTCCCGTCCTCTTTTTTTGAGTTTACTTCGCTGGTAACAAAATGTCTTGGCTAACTTGATTAGTTTTAGATATACAGGTTTTTTTTGAAAAATGGCCCATTTACAATAACCTCTCTATCTCCGTTGTCATTCAATTTAGAAGAAAAAAGTGTGCACATTATTTGTTCTATTTTGTATTAGGAAGCCATTGGCGTACTCAGATTTTTTACAAATCGCACAGTTTCTCCGACATTGCATAAACATAGGTTTTTTTAAATAGAACACCCTGTATTTGGCCATCCTGTTGAGTAGCATTTTTTTTACCTTTTCAGCCATATATAATAATAGATACTTTTTATCTGCCCAAATGAAGAAAAATGCAAAAATGTAGATATAGATATTTTTTCAGTTGGCCATGTTATTTATTTATTCGTCTTTTGTTGTTTAATATTGACAGTTAGTTTATTTTTGACTGATTGAAAGCTTGTTAAACGTCTATTACTTGGTTTTAATTTTGAAAAGTATAAAAATGGTATACGAAAATCTTCACAAAGTTCAAATGTTAGAGTGTTACATTGAAAGTGAAAAAAATAGTGACACAGCTTTAAACTTATATTTGGAGAGATACCCAGAGCGTCATCAGCCAGAAAAGAGAATTTTTAGCCGACTCTATGATAATTTGTGTGAGTTTGGTTCTTTTCAAAAACCGAGAGCTAAATCTTATAATATACAGAATAGAGAAGATGATGAAATCAATACTTTAGCTTTTGTTGTCGCAAATCCCAACGTATCCAGCAGAGAAATTCAAAGAACGATAGGAATTGGTAAATTCAAAGCATTGAGAATTTTAAAAAAACACAAGTTTCGACCATATACTATAAGAAAAGTCCACCATTTGCATCCAGGAGATGAAGAGAGACGCATCATTTTCTGCCAATGGTTTTTGCAGCAAACTCATGTATACCCCAATTTTTTTCAAAATGTTATTTGGACCGACGAGGCTTTTATAAGCAGCGAAGGTATATTCAACCGGCATAATGCGCGTTATTGGTCAGATGTTAATCCTCACCAAACTGTGGCCAGAATTCAACAAGGGCGATTTGGTTTTCATGTATGGGTAGCTCTCTTCCACAATAGAGTGTTAGCTTACGAAATGTACGATGAAAACCTTAACGCTCAGAGATATGTGAGAATTTTACAAGAAAATATTATTGAACTGCTGGACGATATGTCACTAGCTCAACGATATAATATGTTCTTTCAGCATGATGGTGCGCCTCCACATAATTCCCACATAGTTAGAGAATTATTAAATCATAATTTCGGGGACAATTGGATCGGTACGTACGGACCAAACAGGTGGCCGCCTAGGTCACCATACCTAACCCCTATAGACTCTTATTTTTGGGGGGATGTTAAAGACAAAATTTATAAGTATAGAGCTAATAATGTCGAGGAGCTAAGGGAACATTTTGAAAACTATATTCAGCGGGTGTCAAATATTCACATTTACAATGCGACCCGTTCCATCGCCAAACGTTGTCAGTTATGTATCAACGAAAATGGCCGACAATTCGAACACTTACTGTCACTATGTTATGTCATTTTTGTTTTATTGTTGTTTCTCTCATTTTATAGTTGTTATTTTTGTTTAGTTTATGTTTAGATAATAGTTATAAGTGTACTTACCTATAATTAAACTTATTAAGTAAAGATATATGGATAATCTAATTTATTTTTTCTTTTAATTTTTTAGTCTAAGGTGCTTAATATAAAAATAATAATAGAAAACGAAGAGACCAATACTAAACAAATCTCATGGGCCACTGAAAAAATATCTATAAATTTTTTATATTTTTCTTCATTTAGGCAAATAAAAAGTATCTCTTATTATATATGACTGAAAAGGTAAAAAAAAAATGCTACTCAACGGGATGGCCAAATACAGGGTGTTCTATTTAAAAAAACCTATGTTTATGCAATATCCGAGAAACTGTGAGATTTGTAAAAAATCTGAGTACGCCAATGGCTTCCTAATAAAAAATAGAACAAATAATGTGCATACTTTTTTCTTCTAAATTGAATGACAACGGAGATAGAGAGGTTAATGTAAATGGGCCATTTTTCACAAAAAAACTGTATATCTAAAACTAATCAAGTTAGCCAAGATCTTTTGGGACCAGCGAAGTAAACTCAAAAAAAGAGGACGGGACATCGATATCAGATTTTTTAATCTATCACCGTTTTGGCTGTACCCTATAAAACTATCGAAAATCAACCACCCTGTACATCTATGCATTTCTAGACTATTTTCGTATTTTCTAATACAAGAACTGGTTTCGCATTCTGGTTGTATGTCCTACATACTAGATTTTACAATAATTATATCGCCTACACCTTTTGTTCCTTATTTCAAAAATATACCTAGTAATAATACAAAATGTTACTATATTTAAGAAATAAAAATAATTATTGCCAATTATAAAAGTTATTTTAATGGAGATTATTTATAGTGTATACAGGGTGTCATGACAAAAATGAAGGGGTATACAGGGGAGATCAAAATAGATGCAGTACTTCATAAAACAAATTTTCCTATCAGGTTTCGTTGTGGAGTTATTCGCCTTCAAAAAAAAGAAGATTGAAAAACAAATTCTAATTATAACTTCTTAATCGTTGCCATTACAACAATGAAATTTGGGCAAAATAACTCATGGTAATATTCATTTCGAAGTTTAAACTGATACTGAATATACCTGGATTGTACAGGAGCAGACGAAATTATCCATTCAATAGATCTTTGACAGCGTTACCAAATTTGACATTTTTCTTTCATAGTTCGATTTCCTCTCTCATATTGCTAAAAAAACTATACCGTATATCAGTCTATATACGGTCAATATATTTGTCAGTCATCTTAATTTCCAAAGAAACCAAGATTTTTACAAAAAAGTTAATATCACTTTTTTGACACAATATGTCTATGTTGTTAATAATTCGATTTCTGAAAAATGGTATAAGATCGACTGTCAAAGACGGATTTTGAATGGATAATTTCGTCTGCTCCCGTATAATCCAGGCATACTGAATATCAGTTTAAACTTGGAAATGAACATTACCATGAGTTCTTCTTTTTCTTCTTTTTCTTCTTCCTGTTCTTCTTCTTAGTGGTTGGTCCTAATAAGTCCCATAGCACCGCGGCCTAATTAGGCCTATTGTGCGTCCCACTACTAGTCCTATTCAACAAGTAGTTTTGTCCTTTTTTCCAAAAGCTTCCTTGCTGACACTTCTCTCTGTTCCTTGGGTTCCCGGGCACTCGCCCAGGATATGCAGAGAAGTTTCATCCGCCAATTCACATCCTCGGCAGACCGGACTGTCTACAAGCTTTAGCTTATGTAGATATTTCTTAAAGTGACAGTGTTCCGTTATGAGTCCTGAGACGGATTTTGTTCAAGCTCAGTAAATCGTTTGCTCTTTCCTTCGAAGGATGCTCCATGAGCTCATTAGAATGGCTATGTCCAGTATTTCCTGTGTTCTGTCTCAGTCCGTTTGTCCAGAGCCCGCCTGACCACACTGGGAGATGTGCCACAGAAGGGCTCCGGGTCGATGAACTCTGTCTCGGATCCCTTCCTAGCAAGTTCATCCGCTTTCTCGTTTCCACAAATGTCTTTGTACAGTCTAACTATATTATTGGTGGCCAGTTCAGTCAGCATTTGTAAACAATCCCACACCAGTTTTGAACTTATCTTGTGTGACCCTAAAGCTTTAATTGCAGCTGGACTATCAGAGAATATATATATGAGTTTACGTTTATAACCTCTACGTACATTCTCTGCCAGACACGCCATTACCGCGAAAATTTCTGCTTGGAATACGGTAGGGAACTCCTCCAGACTGTAGCTTGCACTCCATCTGGGTCTGAGTCCATATATTCCTGCACCCGTCCCTCTGGTCATTTTGGAGCCATCTGTAAACCATACTAGGCTCCAACTTTCCAGGGTATTAAACCTTTCCTCCCATTTGCTTTGATCCTATATTCGAATTTCAAATGGCTTGTGTAAGTGAAAACTTGGAACCATCTTGTCAGATACCATTCCAAAAGTTGGTTCCGGCATAGATGTGTCCATGATCCTGGAATAGGAACTACTCCTCCAATCATTGTTATTCCTCTTTTCAC